CCTCTTTGAAACTTGCAGAAAATGCTGGATCTGAAGAGTTGACTTCCCTCCTAAGACATCCTTCGGCACCTAGGAGTAAATTACGCATTGGTCAGATGATTTTGCAGATCTGCCTCTCTCCATTTCTTGTGTCCCAATGGCCTTAAACCACCTAAGGAATGTCTTGGGGATCACCTGGTGGGGCAGATTATCTGAGCTCTGCCACCTTCTTCTTGCAGTCCATCTGCCCATCCATCTGTCTACCATCCATCCACCCAACAGTCATTCAACGAACATTCACAAAGAGTCCACCAGCTCTGGCTGGGCCCTCTGAGGGGACCTAGAGTGAGAACTTAACAGTCTTAATGTCCTTACAGTGTCCTTGCCTTAGTGTCCTTAGGAGCTCATGGCCCATCAGAGAGAACTGATCCATTTGTGGTCTATACGTAATAATAATGCTAATGACGGTCATCCTGGATCGGCTGCCTACCACAGGAGTCAGCCCCAACTGCCCTAACACAGCACCATAGCCCGAGTGGCTTCAACGACAGAAGTCTCGTTTTTCTCTGTTCTGGAGGCTGGAAGGCTGAGACCAGGGCACCAGCGTGGTGAGGGCTCTCTTCCTGACCGGACACCTCTGCCTTCTTGAGAAGAATGAGGTAGTTCTCTGGTCTCTTTTCACAAGGACACTAACCCTTCATGAGGGCCCCACCCTCATGACCTCCTTTAGGCCTAATTATCTCCTAAAGGCCTCATCTCCACATCCCATCGCACTGAGGGGTTAGCTCCAACATGAGAATTTGGGGTGAGGGGCCCATTCAGTCCATAGCACCTACCGAGGAAGAGGCCTGTAAGTGTGTTACCGTGAATCCTTGCACCAGCTCCCTGCCAGGTCCATGCCCTCATTTTACAGATGAGGATGGCAGCTTAGAGCGCTAATGAGTAGCTGGAAGCCCAGTAAGAGTCTGATGCTCGGCGGGCTGGCTCCATCCCTGAGCTGACTCCCACTCTGTGCCTCTCTAAGATGCTCTCCTTTCTGATGCCCTGGGCAGGACAAGATGTGTGGGGAGGACAGGGATGCCACCCGTCCCATCTCCCGGCAAATGTCGAGGGCCACTGAGCCCCCTCCCCGGCCTTGTAATGCCCTTGTGGAGCCAAGAAATCAGCAGGGCAGCGGTCTCTGTCTCTGTGAGAAGAGGTCTGACTGAAGGAGCTTTCAGTAAACAGGGAAGAGAAAGCAGACTTGCCGGCATGCCCTGGAGCTGTCAGTCCAGTGGTGGGAGCTGCACAAAGGCAACTTCAAAGGGAGGAGGCCATCAATCTTTCATGCTCTGGATGGAGGATTCAGGACCCCTGCATGTGGCGCCACCACCACCCCCACCCCCCGCGGCGGAAGAGCTCGGCAGAAGTTGCTCGGTAGCAGCCCTCACCGAGGCCTGGCCCCTTTGATGGGTTCCAATGTCACTGTGCCTGGCACTGAGTGCGCCCCACCTGCTGTGCCCACTCAGGGCACTTTGCAAGAGTTCAGGGGCCGCTCAAGGGCACCCACCACCACCACACCAAAAAAATTCAGAATACATTTTTATTTATTCAAATGACACCATCACCGAGCCAGCCAGTGGCATGGTGGTTAAGGTGGCTAGACCCCACGTGGCTGGACACATGGTTCGAGTCTTGGACCCATTGGCTTGAGAAACACACTGGGCACATGTGCATACATGCCCAGGATCTCCACGGGCAAAGGGACAGAGAAGGATTGCAGTGTGACCATGCCCCACAGAGAGGACACTTTCCCTCTTTGTCTCTGTGTCTTTTTGGCAAGTGAGTACACACACTCTCTAACATAAAAAAAAAAAAAAAAAAAGAATAGCCCTACTTTCCCTCCTAACGTTGGAGTTCAGTAGCTTCTTCCTGATACGCTGCCTTAATACCACAGCACACTTTCTGGCTGGCCAGCCGCTGCCTTCCCGGTGTGCCTGACGCACAGGGGTCTGCCTGAGGACATGCAGCAACCCCCTGAGGACCCCAGCTGCCTGGCTCCCAAAGCTGAGTCCACACAGCACTGTGAAGGGCTCAGGGTCTGAGTGCCTTGTCCTTGCTTCAGGAGTTTTCTGTGGACTGGGCCCACCCATTTAGAGATAGAGTCACCCTCTGGGCTGAAGCAGGGTGTCAGCAAGTCATGTGAAGATTAACTGTGACGACGTGCAAAGGCTTAGCGGAACTCCTAGTAGTTAGCACTCGCCAAAGACACACTGCTGCTACAACGATCCTTACAAGGGCCCTTCTGTGATTCCGAGGCTGGACAGCCGAATGCTTCCCTTTCTGTGAACTGTGTCAACCTGAGGGCAGAATTCTGAAGCTCAGGGCCCTGCCCTGCTCAGGGGTCTAGTCCTGGTCACCACGTCAGTCTCTTGGATACATCCAAAAGGGGTCACATGCTGAGCCAAGAGCCCAGGAGAAACGGATGTAAGAGCCTTGAATACCAGCCTGGGGACACGTGAGTGGGCAGGACCCCGGATGGAGGTCCTGGGCTTTCCTATGACCCCCGATGTATCTGTGTACCCTGCAGCCTCCTGTAAACCAACTGACCTCTGTGCTTTTTCCTTTTTTTCAGTTTGCCAGAGAGTGCACACGCTCACCGGAGAAAGACACAGAGGGGAAGGAAAGTGAGAAATCACACCCCCACTACCAGCCAGTCAGGGAGGTGACCATGCTGTGATCCTCCCTTTTCTTCCACTCTCCTCCAGGGCTTTTCGGGCACATGCACACAGCACCTGGGGTGTGTTTTGAGCCACCAGGTTTGGGACTCAGACCACACAGACGGCCAGGTCAGCTGGCCCTCCTTTTCTCTCATGCACAGACTTTGTAAATGAAACCAGAACTGGAAAAGTCTTTATTACCTGCCATTAATAGAAGGCAAAGAGCAAAAACAGTACAGTGGAAAGAAAGTCCAGGCAAGTCCTGCTGGATTCCGTGTCCTCCTCAGGCTGTTCTCTCGGTAAAAGGCTGCTCGTCAGGCAGAAAGGCATTGAAGGCTTCTTAACCCCAAAGGGAGCTGGACCCAATTGCAGGGATAGAAAGGGAATAGAAAAAGAAATCATGTTCTTGGGCCAGCTGGTGGTGTGGAGGTTAAGACAGCTGGATCCCACACGGCCAACCG